TTTCTTGAAGGTCCCTAAGTCGTATCGGTCCGGAAAAATCGCTGATGGTAATCGATTCCACAAGGAGGTCGTGCGAGGAAGAAAACATCTTCTAAATCGCACAGTGGTGGACCGCCAATCATCCAGATGGTGTGGATGGTATCGGGAGTTCTGCCGCGATGTGCGTTCGTGAAATTTGGCGGCTGGGATTAATCCGAACAATTCCTCAGAGCACTCCCCATGGTAGATGCGAAAGAAAATGCAAAGGGATGCAACATCTCTTCGCAGTGCCAATGAATCGAGCCGATCGGAAAGGGCTCGGTCGTCGACAATTCGAGCCGCTCTGCGTTGGATGCGGTCAAGTGGAAGGAGCTGGCACTGGGGAGCCCCTGCCCAGAGATGGGAACAGTATTCCATGTGAGGCCGAACTTGCGCCTTGTAAAGTAGCAGGCGGTGTGCCGGCATGAAATACTGTCCCGCTCTGCTGAGCACGCCAAGCTTTTTAGAGGCCAATTTGGCCTTCCCTTCCAAGTGACCACGAAACTGCACGTCACTCGATATGTCGACTCCGAGGATACCGATACTGGCTGAGGCAAGAAGGGCAGTGCCTTGAAACTGAGGAGATACGACAAAGGGGTTCTTTTTAGCGGTAAACGCGCAAACTTGTGTCTTCTGAGGATTAAATTGGACTAGATTTAGTCGCCCCCAATCCGAGACTTTGTTCAGCAAAGACTCGACTTCAGACACTAGTTTGTTCCGGTACTCAGCGACGTTTTCCCGAGAAATATTGGCACGGCCGGTGTATAGAGCATCACCAGTGCTGTCATCCGCATAGCAATGAATGTTACCAGTTAGCAACATATCATTGATATGCAGAAGAAACAGCGTTGGTGATAGCACACAGCCTTGTGGAACATCAGCGTTAATAGGCTTGTAGTCAGAGCATGCACCGTCTACAACGACCTTGATGCTCCGATCTACAAGGAAGCTGGTGATCCAATTGCACAATTTCTCGGGAAGCCCATAGGAAGGGAGCTTCGAAAGAAGCGCTTTGTGCCAAACCCGATCGAAGGCCTTCGCAATGTCCAGACTAACGGCCAACGCCTCCCCCTTGGACTCTACTGCCTCCGCCCATCTATGGGTCAGGTAGACCAGAAGATCACCAGCTGATCGACCCCGACGAAAACCGTATTGGCGGTCACTAATCAGCTGGTGATCCTCAAGGTACCGGATGAGCTGGCAGTTAATAATGGATTCCATTATTTTGGAGAACAAGGAGGTGATCGCAATAGGCCTATAGTTGGATGGGTCTGAGCGGTCGCCTTTTTTAGGGATCGGGTGGACAAAAGCTGTCTTCCATGAATTCGGGACTACGCCTTGGGAGTAGGAGTACCGGAAAAGACGCGTTAGGACCGGTGCCAACTCCGGAGCACACGTCCTCAGCACAATTGGGGGGATTCCGTCAGGCCCACTCGACTTCTGGATGTTCAGGGAGAGCAGTGCTTTGCGAACCGAGCGCTGTGAGAACAGCACATCCGGCATGGAGCACTCACACCGCGGGATGGTCGGCGGTGTTTTCCCCCCGTCATCAAGAGTCGAGTTGGACGCAAAAAGAGAGCCTAAAAGGTCGGCTTTGTCTTTTGCGTCATGGGCCAGGGAGTCATCCTCCCTGTGCAGAGATGGTAGTGATGGCTTACAGAAATTCCCTTGGACAGCCTTGGCGAGAGACCAGAATGCACGGGTTCCCGAAGGAAGGCGAACTAGTTTCTCGCCAATTCTGCCTATGTGCTCTGACTTTGCCTTGGCAATAACTCTTTTGAAGGACCTGGAGGCGAAGTTATACTTCTTTTTAAGTGTGCTGGTATTTACATCCCGAGTCGCCGAAGCCGCAGCCCAGGCTTGATAACACTCCTGCTTACTGCGTAATGCAGTCTTACAGGAGCGACCAAACCAAGGCTGAGATCTGCCTCCGATGGGTACCACAGATGATGGAATAAATAGTTCCATTCCCTGTAGCACCACATCAGTGACAGAGTCAGCAACAGCGCTGGGATCATCCGGCGAGAAGCAAACCCGCCCCCATGGGTAGGATGCAAAGAAGGACCGCATTCCGTCCCAATCCGCTGACCTGTAATGCCAAACACGGCAGCAACCTGCAGAACGCAACCGCGAAGGGAGCGTGAGTGGCGCCACACTCCGGATCAGACAATGGTCCGAAGAGCCGAGAGGGGCATCGACGGAAACCAGATATCCGTCCGGATGAGAGGTCAGCAGAAGGTCCAACAGGGAAGGTGTATGATCCTCCACATCTGGAATCTGCGTAGGCGAAGTAACCAGTTGTGTCAGACCATATGCCAAGGCAAAGTCATAAACAGATCTCCCCGCATGATCGGTTAAACGTGAACCGAGCCATTCGGCATGGTGGCCGTTAAAATCGCCAAGGATCACGATCTCTGCGGATGGGACCTGTTATAGCAAGGAATCTGTAGCCATTTGGACGTGGTCGATGAGTCGGTCTGTTTCGACATTACCACTATGGGACCTATAGAGGCACCCGTAGACGCGCGGATGGTCGTCGCTGTCTACGCGTAGCCAAAGGATGGACAGGTCCGAACCTTCAAGACTGCCGAGGTGTCGAGAACAGATGTCCTCTCTGACATACACGCAAACTCCGGCCCGAGGCACAAAGGAATGCTCCAATTTGTACCCCGGGTAGGAGAGATACGAAATATCAGCCGGAGAGGAAACCTGCGTCTCGGTCAGAAAGAGCAAGGCCGGCTTCGCCGTCTCGAGATGGTAGTGGACGGCGTTTAGGTTAGAGTGAAGTCCCCTGATGTTGCAGAAATTCACGGATAGCGTGGCAGGGGTCGCCTTGGTGTTCTTGCTCAGTTTGCCCCTAGCAGTAATGCTTTTGAGCGGAATTTTGCCCCCCCCAGAATACGCGGGGCAGCCTGAGCACCCACGCTCAGGATCGGAATAACATGGTCGTGGATGCTCAGCGAGGGATTCTCCAGGGGTGCTGGTACCCTCCTGGGGTAGTTCTTCGTGTAATTCCGCTACCATGTTGATGGGGGGGGGGGGGGGGGGGGAATTGGGCCTCCGGCCACCTGCACTCACCAGACGAAACACAGAAGCAAAGCTTCTACTTCAGGCCGGTATTCTGTGAGGTCGTGGTACTAACCCGGCTCGAGCCGGCCCATACATGCAACAGCAAAAACTGCTGCGTGGCTCTACCACCGTTAATGCTGTTTATTTATTTTTTATAGTACTCTAAATAAAGAAGGAAATAAATTGAAGTAAAATATAAATATATTATACAATTAATAGAAAATAATATACAATATTTTAATATATACACTATTAAAAACTATAATAAAAAAAAAAAACTAAAACTAGTAACTTAATTATGATACAGTCCTACTATCCGCGGTATCGTGCCAATAACGCTGGCTGCGTTTCCCCGCTGAATGACTGTAATTAGCATTTAAGCGAGAAAAGAGCCAACCCTCTTATCACCAGCAGCAACGACCAGCCGCAGATGGAGTTCCTTTAGGAATTCCACCGCACGTGGACCCCACGGACCGATAGTCTCTACAGAAAATGGCACAGATATGTAGTCATCTCTCAGAAACTCATATTTGCGCCACTTACTCAGTTCAGCTGCCTCTGATGCCGCCCCGGCTCTAAGCGAGGTACCCCTGAGACGAGAGGCCGCCAGAGTATCTACGCAAGTAGCATCCCACACTAGGGCTTTACCTCTCTCTCAAGGGACCAATGCCATCGTCACTAAATATTCCACAAAGCTCTAAAACCGAGGTAACATTTATAGAGACAAGAGCCATACGGATGACATCGTTCAAAGAACCGTGCCGTGAAATACCTACCAGCACTTTTCTTACATGAAAGTCCGTGGAACCTAAACTTGTCGACGCTGCTACCAGAGGGGCACTGATGGGGTTATTGGGTTTCCAAAATCCGATAAATTTTGTAAGATGTGAAAAATTAATTAACCTAGATCCGTGTAGTAAAATAAAATTATAATATGAGTTACCTAGTTTTAAGAGCACCTTCCGCCTCACCACTAATTTTTTTTATAGGAGAGAACATAACAAACGATCAAGCGGCTCACCTGATGGTAAGTGACTACGGCCAACCATGAGCAACTGCAACACCAGGGCAATTGCAGGTACGTTGCAGGCCTTTTAAAAAGGAGTAAGCTCTTTTCTTGAAGTCCAACACTACTACTCCCAACGCAACAAAATTAGGAAAGACACAGAAATTGATGATTGCGCTATTAAGCTATATTATTACGTACTAAACTATGGTGTCAATAGTGCAGCAGCTTAGCGTTTACCTACTGCACTGTGGGTTGGTGCTAACGATTGCCACCGTTGAACAAAGACTTCCCCCAAGAAAAGCCGGAAAACACGATTCTGCATGTAGCGATTTGCTACATGGGTCATCCGAGACTTTAGTATGAATACGCTTAACAGTACGAGGCTACCAATCTAGAAGCCTTTTTCCCATTGGATTGTGTTATATGTTCATCAGTAATTATTTTTGATTTGTCTGTAGAACGTGGTACTGTTATGATGCAGCTATATTATAGTTGTAGTACGAATAGGTCGGCTCGAACGGGGAGGGACCATGATATCACACAATACCAGCGTAAAATAACAGCTTAATGATGCTGTGTTTCGTATGGTGAGTGTAGAGAACCGGAGACCCTTTTTACTGGAAAAGAGGCATGCCATCTTAGTCCTCACGGGTGACAACGCATCTGCATTTTTTCCCAAACGAGGATAAATGTAGATGTCTATGGGCCACAGCAACCACTTACCATCTTGTGGCCTGTGAGCTCGTTTGTCACCCTTACAATGAAAAAATTTGCAATTTACATTTATAAGAAGCCTACAGGATAATCACTTTATATACAGAATGAAGTTAATAAACTTTATATTTATAATTCTGTTCTTATTTTTTCACAGGCAGTCACACGTCGTTCCCGTCAGTCGACTTCAATGCAGTGGTCACGCTCATTCCGCGGCAGCGCGATCAGTCCGCACGATGATGTAGACGTAGATGACGTATTCTTCGCTCCACCATCGATGATGTCACCATTAAATCAGCAGCACCACGACGATGGGGACGGTGCTGATGGGCCCAAAGGGTAACTATAATGATGTCCTCCTGGCCGATTTTAAATGTTTTCGGAAGTTATCAATGATTATAATCTCTTTGGTTATCAATAGGTAGTAATATGAAATTTTTGTCTGTTTTTTTTTTTAATTATTGCTGCATAACGCAGACTATTATCCTTATTAGCGCTGCAATGAACAAAAAAATTATCGTCAGAGTTTTAATAATACACTTTTAAAGATTAAAATTTACTACTGACAGTGTAGTTTCAATGTACTTTGATTTATCTAACTTCATTAGAAACGTATTAGTGACTTATATATTTTGTATATTGTATTAGTGGCTTATATATAAGCGACAGTAGTCTAATAGCAAGGTGCGGATCGCGAACTCAAAAGATCGTGGGTTCGAATCCGCCATTCAACTACTGTCGTAAAGATCACCTAAGCAAGCATTTTAAGCGTACCAGGAGTAGTTAAAGGGAATATTAGCAATGTTAATAAAATTACTAGTATTTTTAAAAAGCGCTTAAAAATAAATATGAAAAGGGTTACGTATTATATTGCTACAAGTTTGCACGTATGTAAAGTGGCACTTACCCGTACTAACCCGTATCAGATGTAACGCTTGTGAGAAACTAATTGAAGGTGAGCCTAAATATAATATTTCAGGACCTAAGGAGGATCATAGTACATTCATAGTGCAAATTATTATATCAAAGGGATTTTAGGTTTCTCCTTAGATTATTTAGATGTTTTATTATTTTCTTATAAAACTGAAGTGAAAAAAACTTTTAGTCCACTTGATTATTGACTGGACTGGATGGACTGCAGTATCCATAAACATTTGCGACTGACTCCAAACAAAGAAGGCTAAAAGTGCGTTGTCACCTTAGGACAAATATGGAATCTCATAGCCTGTAATTACAGACTCGGATTTAGCTGCAGAAATATGTAAGAATGTCGTATCTACCCAGCGGACTCGTAGGCAAAATAAAGAATGCTACCAACAAACCTATTTCGCCATAGAGTCTTATTTTATCAGCAAATTTGTTAATTGTAATTTTAAGTTCTGGATGAGAAAATAATAATATAAAATTAAAAATGTTGTACAGCCGACTTCAATATAAATTATAAAGAATAACTCAATAACTTTTAGTCTTAACTTGATCAAATTTATATGGTACCACACGAGAAGTATTAGCTTTCAAATAAAAAAAAGAATCATCGAAATCCGTTCACCAAGTAGAAAGTTATGAGGTAACACACATAACATACAGTCGAATTGAGTACCGTCTCCTATTTGAAAGTCGGCAGAAAATAGCTTAGTTCTTTTTTCATTATGAAATCCATGTTACGAGATTCGCAACTGGTAAATTAAAAAGAAGTCGAAAGATGTAAGAGGTAAACTTACTTTCATTACATATTTCTATAGGATTTACTGGGTGTAACCTATAGAACTTATAATAATGAAGAAACTAGACACATTTAATGGTTAATTTACCCTATCAACGTAAAAGCGTTGTTACAGTAGAACGTTAATATCTTTTGTTTGATTAATAAAGTACTGTTAATGTAAAGTAACTCAAAGCGAAGACGAAAACTTTAGTTAATAATCGTGCTAGAGCCAGAACCGAGCTCTTAATACATCGTCATGTTGCGCTAACTTGACAGATTAATTAGCTTCTAATTATAATTACACATTTTACTGCTAGCGGGCGAGCGTCGAGACGAGAAGTTGGGGAACTGGCTGTTCAACTGTGAACTGATTGAATTGCTTTGTGTATTAAAGTAAATCGGTCTGTGACCGAAAGTTACTTGCATTTATGATTCAAAAACTCTCACTACCCACCACTAATTATTTTAATAAATATAGCTTTTGTTAAAGACTGATTTAGGTAGAAATATTAGTTTCCTAGAGAGCCGTGGAACATCTGGAGATAAGTGTTTTTTTTTTCAATTTCAAATCGAGTCAAGAAGAGTCAACACGAGAAAATCGAGTTCGATCCCCGCCAACACCAATAAATTTGTTAATCGTAATTTTAAGTACTGATTTACCAGAGTTCTGTGTGAATGAAAATATTGTAAATAAATCAGTACGTTTCTTATACCTTAAAGCTGTGTGAAAACTTGTGAAACCATTTCAGAAGTGAACGAGACCTGTCTGTGCGCACAGGCTAACTTACTTTCATTAATTTTCTATTTTTTTTAACTGTAATTATTAATTTTCTAACTATAACATTTCTTTTAAAATGTTCTTATGTAAAAATTGCGATTTTATTACAAACAACAACTTTAATTATATGTTACTAGCTGGTACCCTGTTACTATCGCTGAGGAAATAATTGTGAAAATATCGTTATAAACTTGGAAAACACTTTTTGAAATTGAATGATATATAACTGTCAAATAAATTTGTCCATACAATACGCGCATCATCTCTGTAAGTTCTAGTCTAAGTCTGTACTATGCCTTATCCCTATAACCTTCGCGCAAGTGCAAGCAATGAGTTGATAAAATTTTACCGCAATCCGATGAATGGTATGGTTGCGCATAAAATACGAACAAACAAATATACATATTTATATATTAGATTATGCCTAGTTTTGGTACCGATATAGTCTACGACTTGCGTCATTTTTATGGCTTTCTATCAAACACATTTACTAAATTATTTGCTTAATAATTAACCAAGAAATTTTATATAAAATGAAATGTTTATGGTATAAATTATTGATCTATTCCAATAACATTAAGTGCGTTGTGTCTTTATCTGACAGAGATATAGTTTTACCCAGATCTTTGTGACAAGGGTCGGCGAAATCACAGACTTAATCTCGGGTCCAACTTACATATGCGCATCGAATTAAGTAATCTCACATCAATTTCTTGTCCAGTCTATTTATTATAGTAGAATATATCGCCGACTATGGATAATTTCGTAGTTTATTTCACTCAGAATAGTTCATCATATTTTGAATATAGGAGTAATACAATAACAATATATCATTTACTTCAAACTTAGCATCAATATTTATGTCAGATAATGCACGCTTAAAGAAATATAATTTCAGTTTATATAAGTTAATCTAACCGTGTGGTGCCAGTGTAAGAATATCCACTACCCCATATCATAGGTCTCATGTGTGTCGTAAGAGGCAACAGAGAGACTCTGAAATAGGGGATGGGCAACAGCTTCCTGATGACAACTGAAATTTATAAAATACAATAAATTTTTACGTGGTAGAGCCATGCTGCATCCATATTTTGGTTGTGGCACGAATGTGAGAAGGACGTGGTTCATCCCTGCTCGAGGGATCTTACAAAATACCAGCTTAAACAGTCGGGTAAATAGCAGATTAATGCTGCGTAGTTTCATATGGTGAGTGTGGAGAACCGGTGACCGGTGAACTGGAAACGAGGCATTCCATCTTAGTCCGCAAAGGTGAAAACGCATTCCACATTTTAATTCTTTATCAAGGTTAGATGTACATGTCTATGGGCCACAGCATGCACTAAATATCAAGTGGACTGAGTGCATGTTTGTTAACCTAATTCTAAAAAAAATGCGGTTACCAACCAACCTGCCATGCATATTAACTATTTATGATCTATGGTATTATACCTACATATCTCGTTTACGTCAGACGTAAAACACCCAGACCGTGGACGTCTGGTACTGTGATCGCCAATTTGTCTGCCACCTGTCCCGATAAGGCTCAGACCTTCCTGCAGTCGGAAAGGTCTTAGTCCATAGGTGTACGGGCTATGGAATATGCAATAGAAAATCAAAAAATTATAAAATTTTCTAAAATTTATATGATAGTATTTTCTATAATTTTAACTAAATTGTTTCAGATTTTTATCAGATTTTAGTTACGTTATTGTAAATATTGAGAGGTAACATGCTGCAGGCCACTTTAAACCAGGATTATTGGATGAATTATTTGTAAACATGTGGAACAAGTTTGTAAACTGCCTTCACGATACATTAGAACATCATAGTGTGGGGTAAAGTTTTTTTTTAAGAAAAAGAATAAAGAAAAAAGAATTAAGCTTAATTGCAAAATATATGCAGTGTTACCCAAAAATTATCTTAAAATACTTTTCTTATGATACTTCTGCCGCAAAATAGCAGTGCTTGCATTGCTGTATTCCATTCTAAAGGATATAGAGAGATATTATAAATTGCAGGCTGGTAGGCATTCCATATTAGTATTCCGAGGTGACAACGAATCTGTAGCTTTCTTTGTATGAATTAGGCTGCAGGTTTCTATAGACTGCAGTAGACACTTATCATCTACTAGTAGTTAGTTTATTTATTACATTAGTTTTATAAAAAACATCCATTCATCCTTTACAGTCTATAAAAGTCCACTATTAAACATAGGTCTCCTTCATAAATTGCTTCATATTCGCCTCTTACGGCACCAAAAGGATGATATAGGGTAGTGGATATTCTTACACCGCCACTACATGGTTAAACATACACAGCCACGCCACATTTTAGTACGTGGTAGAGTCATGCTGCAGCTGTATTAGTAGTATCGTTGTAGCACGAATGGGTCGGCTCGACCTGGGAAGGACCACGCTCTCACAGAATACCAGCGTAAAATAGCATTTTAACACTCCTGTGTTTCGTATGGTGAGTGTAGAGAACCGGAGATACTTTTTACTGGAGAAGAGGCATTCCATCTTAGTCCTCACGGTCGACAACGCATCTGCATTTTGATTCGCAAATGAGGATAAATGTAGATATCTATGGGCCACAGCAACTACTTACCATCAGGTGGACTGTGTGCTCGTTTGTCACCCGAAACTATAAAAAAGAACAACTGAAAATGGAAATTGAAGACAATTTTTGCATATTCTGTTTACAAACAGGAGGAAATGAATGTAAAATAAATTTGTAATATTTTTGTCTTAAACTTTAAAGTGTACCAATAGGACAGGTGTTCTCATTTTTTTTACGTATGTGTGCTATTAGGACAGACGGAAAGAAATAATATGAGTTTCTTGTTCTTGACAGCGGAACCTTTTGTCTTTTTTACTTTAGTGTACATACAAATTGGATTGTCAATCAAAACATAACATAATAACAAGAATTTTGATTGACAATCCAATTTTTATGTACACTAAATTATCTCAGTTCCGAAGTGGTATACATATTGTAAGCACTTACTTATTCATATATCAGATAATAGATTCTCGGTGCGCACGATATTGTGGATATAGTTTTTGTATGTTTTCTGTTTCCATCAACATTCAAATTATAAAAGTAATAAAATATCATAAAAAAATATTTGACTGTTATAAAAATGACGCAATAGTATTCTTTGGTGTTGCATTAACGAAATGCAGCTGTTTTCGTATTCTGTGTGTTTCTACAAAGTTGTACTTCCGACTTTAGTTGTATTTCCGAGGCACAAGTACGTTCGCTTTTACAATTTTCAGGATTTGAAAACTTATCATCATTGACTATATATATTTTTTGCATTGATTTATATTTGTTACAAGGAAAACCTACATTCATAACTATTGAAACTTGAAATTCTTATTTCTGTATTTATAATTCGAAATATACTCATAAATAATGAAAATTAATGACTAACATATGATACTGCCCATTTTATAAAGTAAACACCGTGTTATTTAGGTTCAAACTTGTTTTGAAAAAGAATACGCAAACCTCAACCGTTTCAACGCGATTCCATTTGGGTGATCGGAAAGCCTCTCATGAATGCCGCCTTTTCTCTTTCGAATGTACATTTAGCGTTTGTGTTTTCAGCGCTCGGTCGCCGATCGTTTCGGGCGGTGTGGAGTACAGGAGGCCGGAAAGGAGTGTCTCCTGGGGTGCGGGGGGCGCGCGCATCCATACACCCATGCTAGAACCGCTGGCCGACAACTCGAATAGGAGGCAATTTGGCATGGGCATTGTCGGCAGATTCTTCCGGTGAGACAAATGTTTTAACGTTTTCAATAACATTAAAATATGTTTGATATAATATTATTATGGAATAAGTAGACTATATTTTTGTATAGTAATTTAACATACCAATATTTACAAAAATATTGAACAAATAAGGTCGTTGTGCCGGTAAGCCGGCCGAGTCTAGATTTCGGCATTTGGAACCAGGTGATTCAGTTAATTTGATTTAATAACGATTTTAATAAATATTATCGTACAAAATGAAGTTTAATGCATTTGTAAATAGTTGCATTATATCTTGCAACATTACCGAGTAAACACAACACGTGATTTATAATAAATACTTTAGTTCGACGCGCCGACACAGTAGCTGTCAAAGACTATAAGATCGTGCAAAAAGAATAGTGGTAGTTATATTTCACTGTATAAATAACTTAATTTTAAATTTTAACATTGACTGTTATAATAATTTGTGTGACTTATATTTTGACTTAGACTTGATATTTTACTGACTGTTATAAAATGTGTCCAGAATACCCCGGAAAGACTAATTAAATTATTAATTAATTAATTTGTGAAAATTCAATGACACCAGAAAATAATATTTCTAAAGAAATAACTAACGCAGACCTAGTTTCCACAAGAAAAGTTTTGAAACATTTATAATCAACTCTGGCAGAAAAAAATATACTTAGCGATGTTCGGGTAACTATGGGTTGCGATGCATCAGAATCGTTAGTCGATAACAACATTTCAACTTTGCATTTGTCTGGAAGTTAGTTGGATTTCGGTTCCTCATTATCGTTAGATGATATTCTTGTGATACCAACTCAAATAACCCTACCAACGACAATAGTACTGGCAATGTCTGAAATGGTAATAGATTCCAGTAATGCAACAATAACGATTCAAAGCAGTACAATGGCCTCGATGATACCACCACCACAAACACCGATGATAACAAACAACACCTTTGAAACTTTAGAAAATGTGCTGGTTGATATTTCAATAGAACAGACTAGTACACCTCTACAAACTAGTGAAACATCGGCTTCAAAACTATTAAATAAAGAATGTAGAGATGCAATAGAAAAAAACATTTATTTTAACCGGAACTCGTAAAAAATCAACTATTAACAGTACACGTACACATTTTTCTGTAGCAATTTGATCTGTAGAGTTGCGAAAATTTTATGAAGAGAAAGAGAAAATTAAAAAAGAGATGTTAGAACAAACTTACAAAAAAGGTAAAAAGTTATGAAAAAAAAAGAATAGAAAAAGAAAAGTTAATGAGTGCTAAATTTCAAAAACAAAAAATCGCAAAATACAGGAATTCCATGAAGGAAAAAGAAAGGGTAAGAGTAAATTGCACCTTGTGTTATGATATACTAATAAGCCATACAGAAGACGATATGGAAAAACATATTGGATATTACTTTGCACCAAATGGATTTTAGATGTATAGATTTTGTTGGACTAAAATATGAGGAAGTAAAAATTAAAGGACATAATTTGATTACCATATTTAACGACACGACGTATTATTATAATTTTACAAAAACATATTAAGTCTCTTCTATCATGTCCAACGCAGTGACCGAAAGTTAAATTCTTGTAGGCCAAAATTTAAAATTTGGCGCCGAAAATTAGCATTTTACATATTTTTCACTTCAAAAATTATTATAAATAAGGGTTTTTTACTGTAGCATCAATGAGTTATTAAAGTGAAAACTACCTTATATAAGCTACAAATTAACATTAACATGACTAGGCCATCATAATGGCAATTATTTTTCTAATATATTAAATTTGACAATTCCACTAAAAGGTTGAAAACCAGCGCAACGACCCTACTTCGTTTAAATTGGTTCTTAATTTATCTAAAATGTACACATATAAGTATATCCTCATGCTGTATGATAGGTATTCTTAAACAAACGTTACACACACACACACCTTTGTTACTGACATTGCGTGCTTGAATCATTAGATACTCGTATAAATAATTAACGACCTAATACATTACGACGTTGTGTAAATGAAATAAGTACGCATTTGCTACAAAGCCGTTTAATTTTAGTAGGCACTTACATATTGCGTGCCGTTTGTACTTAAATGGAAGCTAACACAGAATTATTCACCGAATTTCTAAGAAATCGGTTATAACATGCATTATTCTATGAATGGTGGAAGTATAGCAACTTAAATTTAAATGTCCTTTTTAAACAGAACTTTTTTAAATTTTATACTATTTCTAATTCATCATCATCATCATCATCATTACAGCCTTTCATAAGTCCACTGCTGAACATAGGCCTACCCCAAGGAATGCCACAAAGCACGGTCCTGAGCCACCTGCATCCATCGATTTCCTGCATGTCTTACCAGGTCATCACTCCATCTCGTGGGGGGGTCGCCCTACACTTCGCCTACCGATACGACGCTGCCACTCAAGAACCTTTCTTCCTCATCGGTTGTCGGTTCTTCGAGCTATATGGCCGGCCCACTGCCACTTCAGCTTACTAATCCGTTGGGCTATGTCGGTTACTCTGGTTCTAATGCGGATATCCTCTTTGCTAAGTTTATCACGCAGAGAAACTCCGAGCATAGCCCTCTCCATAGCTCGCTGAGCGACCTTGAGCTTCCTCATACGGCCAGCAGTGAAGGACCACGTCTCAGTTCCGTAAGTCATCACTGGCAACACGCACTGGTTGTACAATTTCGTTTTAAGGTTTTGAGGTATGTCTGACGAGAAGATGTGTCGTAGCTTCCCGAACGCTGCCCAGCCGAGTTGAATCCGTCGATTGACCTCTCGGTCGAAGTTGGACTTACCTAGTCGGACTATTTGTCCCAGGTAAACATACTCGTCAACAACTTCGAGCTTAAATTAAGGTTCATCTAAATATGGTGACTCAGATATTAATAGACTCAACAAAAACAATTAATTTAAGAAAGAAACCGTAACAGAAACTTCGTAGGTGTATTTATTATAAATCACGTGTTATTTACGTGTAATTATTTTTAGCCATTTGATAGCTTCATAATCTCCATCATCATAATAACACTGCTGATCATAGACTCTCTTGTCTGTTCTCTATTCCCACATAACACTATCCTTAGACACCATTCATTCTTAATTTTATAGGTTATAATATTTTAAATGAACTCGTAGTTTCCAAAATTTAAAAGAAATTAACTCAAAGGTAACTAAATATGTTCTTTAAATAAAATAACACAAAATTATATCTCGAAGTGATGGCAAGCCTCAGCAGACATCCCTCACTGATAAAACTGTAATTAAAAATGTAATATACATTTTTTTAAATCATTAAACTCGTTTAAAAATCGATGTTTGTGATAGGGTAATTTTTGTGGCTTATGAATTTCTATATTACGAGTATATATTACATATTAAGTGTTCACAATAAAAAAAATATGAATCTGTACGTAAAATGAATTATCTTGTCGTTATAAGGATAATATTGTTAATGTTATTTACTCACGAATCGTTACAACGAATTCTGTAAAATAAAAATTTGTTTGTTTACAGGATTCTTCAAAACGTATTTAACATTTATTCACTTTAATAAATCAGTAGTTACAGGAAATAAATCATAGATGATGGATAACCAGTATTACGGACCGAATTTTTTTTCGTAATCTAGGAGTTATTTAAAAATATTCAGTAATTATGTTAGAAGAAGAACAGCTTGTATTTTTAATACGATTGTTAATCAACCTTTGTATTTTTATAGTAATATTAATCAACGCGTCATCGAATTCGTTAGAAACGCTAGTTAACACCCTTAAAATGGATTTTTAAGAATGATAAAACGTTTTTTGCCTTTGACTATTAATCAGTCATAGTTTATTCACAGTAAGATAAATAAATGACGTACGTGTCACGCTAGCACTGCAAATATTATCGCTTGATCGGCTGCCGCCGGTGTGGGGTCACTGCCCTACTAAGACTACAATATTATATAAGGTACTGTCATCAGCGCGTCGCATTTATTAAGGCTGTCAGTAAAATATCTCTCATCTGTACTGCCTTAAGGCTTAAAGAAGCCTGAACGACTTTGATGAAACGGCAATCGCAGAGATTTCAGGCGACGTCCACACCGTCTAGTGACTACGTTTTGTATTACTTATAAAAGTGCAAAGATTAATAGACTGCAGTGTTGACAAGCATATAAGTGATATACTGCCTGTTATGCTTGTGCATCACTGAAAGTTATGTCGCGCTTAAGCGTCTTCAATTATATTGCACGGTGTGGTGCTGTAGCTTTGTCCGGTAGGCATCATGTTTTCCCTGCACTTAATACAAAATATGTCGTACTAGTGCCGCGTCCATCTTTGACCAAACCTAACCGAGGCGCGTGAGGTATAGACTAGTTGCATGCGACAAGCGCACGGGTATAGACGATAAGCTGCATGCGTCTTATGGCACAGCGCTTAACGCAGGACGAACTGAAAATTGAAAGGCAAAATGAACATGGAAGCGCACATTTTCTATAGAGTTTAGAACGTTTCAGATAGGGCAAAATAAAAAACTAATACAAAATATTATGGGAATGATTTATTAATAATATATACATTTGTAGGTATTTATATTAAAAATAATGAACAATCTGCTAGGTTCAACTGATAGTGTTACTTGTAAACACAATTGTAAAATTGCTGTTCTCATTTTTATCAATGATGAATTGTTGAAACGTAGTTAAGATCACTTTATATAAAATATATTTAAATAAATTGGCACATGGCGTATTTGGCCTTCCAATTACAACTCCGTGGAAATTCGAAAAGAAATATTTTGTCTGTTCTTAATTCTCTTGTGTACACCATTTTTCATAGAAGTATTGTATACAACTGGCATGGTTTCCAAAAGCACGATTAAGTGTCAGCTGTATATGGTTGAGCAGATCCTGAACTTTTTTGACATTTATATCTTATAACCATTTTAAAAACTGACGCAAACTCATTACTTTATTATTTGTTATACGTATACGTAATACCCAATA